GGCGCGTCTCCAGCTGTTAAAGCCTTTCAGCTTTTCAGAGGGTGAGAATGCCCTGCGAAGGAAGGCTGAAAAATGCTGGGAGCCTGCCCAGGTCAAAGAGCCCCTTGATTTTGTCTGTGTTCCAGTCCCTGGCTAAAGAAAGGGCAGAACCACCGCAGGTGTTGCTTGCCTTTTCCCTACGAGGTTTTGCCAGGTGCTGGGCCAGCCCGGGCCCTCCGGGGGAAGGCCGGCAGTGCCCAAAGCCCGCCGCTTTCCCACGGCAAGCGTCGCTTGCGAGAGCGCCCCCGAGCGCCGGGCCCTGCCTCACAGTCGCCGCCTGGCGGACACGGCCGGGAGCGGCACTGCAGCCGCGCGCGGCGCTGCAGCGGCGCGCCCCCCCCCCCTTGGCGAGACCCGCGGCGCCTTTCGCGCGTCCGGGCCTTTCTTCCCTAAAACCTGCCCTTGCCTAGGAAAAGCTGAGCAGTTCACAGAGTTGCTGTTTCCAGCCCAGCTTCCCAAAGGATTTCTCTCGCCCGGCAGCACAGACAGGGTCCCCGAGGCAGCGCAGACCCTCCCCGCGGGGGGGTGTGGTGCGTGTGCAATGCCAGGGCACATCCGAACCCGGCCCGGCGGCGGCACGCAGGTGCGAGTTTCTCCGCAGAGGCGGGAAACTTGCCTGTCGCTTCCCCGGCCTGCAGTCCCCGATGGCCGCGGGAGAGGCAGAAGAGCGGCCGCGCCCACCCGCCGCGCCCAGCTTACCCCGGGGACGATCTCCGTCGGATCTGCCGCCGTGGGTCGCTTCCGGGGGGGGGGGAAGGCGGCGGCGCAGCCCCGATAGCATCTCCAGGGCACGGCGGGAGCGGGAGCGGGAGCGGGAGAGGGAGCGGGAGCGGGAGCGGGAGCGGGAGCGGGAGTGGAGCGGGACGAGCGGGCGGCGCGGCGCCCCCTGCGGCCCTCGCGCGGCCCCCCCCACCCGCCGCCTGGGGTCCTCGCGCGCCGCGGCTCCGAGACGGGGGCTGCCCGCGCCGGTGCCTGCCGCCGCCCACGAACCTGCCGCCCGCGCCCGGCGCCGCCGAGCCCCCCGCCCCGTCCCCACAGCGGGAAGCGCGGGGGCGGCGAGACGGCGCTGCGGGCGCGGGGCGGGGGTCCGGGTCGCGGCGGAGGTCAGGCAACAGGATAGACGCCTCTCTGAGGCGAGGGGGGCCTCTCGCCGCCATCTTTAGTGTGGCCTCGGCTAAGTTCCGGTCGTGGCGGCGCCATCTTGAGTGTGGCGTCGGGGCGAACTTCCGGGCCGGGGCCGCCATCTTTAGTGTGGTCGTTCCGGTCCTGGCGGCGCCATCTTTACTGTGGTCTTGGCGGACTTCCGGGCCGGGGCCGCCATCTTTAGTGTGGTCGTTCCGGTCCTGGCGGCGCCATCTTTACTGTGGGCTTGGCGGACTTCCGGACCGGGACCGCCATCTTTAGTGTGGTCGTTCCGGTCCTGGCGGCGCCATCTTTACTGTGGGCTTGGCGGACTTCCGGGCCGGGGCCTTGGAGGACTTCCGGTCGCTCTCTACTTCCGGTGACCGAGTTTACCCAAATTACCGGCCCTCCTCGCTAATTTCTGCGCTTTCACCCCAAAAAATCTTCGTGTTGTTCCCCCCACACACACCCCGGGAGAGACGGGACACCGCGAGTCCCGCCCTGCCGCCGGAACCGGCCCTTAACTCGAGCGGGGAGCGCTGCACCGTCACGAGAGCCACTGCGCATGCGTCGCCGGTCCCGCTGCTGGCTGCCCTTACTTACCACGTGATCGCCGGCGTCTTGCCAACGACTGCGCACGCGCCGCCGTCGCCACCCTGGCTTCCCCCCCACCCCGCCGCCCGACCGCCCGGCTTCGCTTTCTTACTGCGGTTCCCCCTCCGCTTTTTCGGCTCCCTGGGGTTCCCCCACCCGCATTTTGGGGTCCCCGTCTCACATTTTAGGGGTGATGACCCCGCAATTTACGGTTCGGGGGGCGGGAGGAGAGGAAACGGGGTGCCCAAGAAGGGGTTTCTTTTTTTTTCTTTTTTTTTTTTCCTCTTTTATTTCATTTTCATTTTATTTCCTTTTTAGTTTTTTTGCCTTTTTTCTTTTTAATTTTCTTTTGTATTTTATATTTCCTTTTATATTTCGTTTATTTTTTATTCTCTTTATTTTTCATTGTCTCTCCCAGTGCTCCCCAGTAACACCCAGTGCTCCTCAACAACCCCCAGTAACACCCAGTGCTCCCCAAAAATTGACCCAAACCCGACCCAAATCACCCCAAACGCTGACCCAAAACTGACCCCAAAAACTGACCCAAATCATCCCAAAACTGACCCCAAAAACTGACCCCAATCGTCCCAAAAGCTGACCCAAAACTGACCCAAATCACCCCAAAAAATAACCCCAAACTGACCCAAATCATCCCCAAAACTGACCCAAAACTCTGCATTTGTTTGGCATCATTTCCTCTCAAAAACAACATCTCCGATTTAGTTGATTGCTAAAGCCATCATTTTAAAATCATCCCAGGAATCAAAAGGGACTGGAAAACACACAGAAATCATTCCTGCGCCCACCAAATCATTAGGAATTGGAACCCGATTCCCTCATCTCTCTCCTTGTGCTTCTTGGCTGGAAAACCTGATGATCCCCGCTGGCTATTTTTAGGCTGCTTTTCTTCCACAGCTCCGTTCCTCCCGGCTGAAACCTCCTGGCATATTCAGGGCTTACCTGGAGGGAAGCCCCTCTGAGGTATTTCCTCTCGCGGCAATTCTGTGGGATGAAGAAGTAAAAAAAGCACGTCAAGAGCTCCTTCGCCCCCCTTCCCTCGCATACACCCTCCCAGTTTGTCCTTGGCAGCTCCATCCCCCCGGCACCCGCACCCGACGCTTCGGCTCCGCTGGGAAAGGGACAGCAAGTGCACAAGCAAGTTCAGTGCTGGGCAGGGGCTCCCTGGGGAAGGGCACTTCAGTGCTTTAGTCCGTGGCCTTTCCTGCTGCCCTCCCTCCCGGAGGCAGAGGATGACCCGGCCCTTGTTTCTCCCACGCTCGCAGACCCAGGTCCTGCGCCTTTGGCCCCACTTTTCTTAGCAGACCCGGCATCATTTCCCAGGGTCCCCAGGAAACTTCTGCACTTGACCCATTGCTGAGTGCAGAGCACAGGGCGAGGGAAGGACAAATTTCTCGGCACCCACCCCCTGGAATTTTCCTTCTCCGCAGCACGCTCCCGTTCCCGCTGTCTCTGGAGGTGCCCGCACGAGTCCCCCTTGCCCCAGCACCTCAGAGAATGTCCTTTTCACCCGGGTCCTGCTCGCCGTCGTCCAACAAAACACGCTGACAACATTTTTCCTGATGACAGTGGAGAGATATTAGAGCACACTGCACAGGGAAGCTGAGCCTGCCCCATCCCTGCAAGTGTTCCAGGCCGGCTGGACGGGACTGGGAGCAACCGGGGACAGTGGAAGGTGTCCCTGCCCACGGAAGGCAGGCTGGCCTTTGAAGGTCCCCTTCAAACCAAATCGCTCTGGGATTCCCCTCCAAAATCACTACCCAAGAGACACAGCAAGCAAAGCAGAGGGACTGCACTCCCCGCTTTTCTTACCTGCAGGCACACACAGCACAGCACGTTGGACAGAAAAGCCACAGGGTTAGTCCTGCCAGAGGCGTCCGGCACACCCACGGCGACCGAAGGGAAGGAGGGAGCCTGGGAACACGGAGTAAAAGACACCTTAATTAGGACCACACCGAGCAATAGCCGGGTCATTCCCACAGACAGCTTCACCGGCCAGTCACACAAAAAGCACTCACCGAGGCCTCAGGTAGGATGGCTCCTGACGCTGACCAGGTGAGTACCTCCCTGGAAGCCCGCTCCGCTCATGCCAGGCACTGGGGCTCACCCAGGGGGGCTTTGCCAAGCATCCAAGGGAAATTTCCAAGCCCGCCCCGACCGCCGGGCGCTGCCTCGCAGTCGCCGCCTGGCGGACACGGCCGGGAACGGCACTGCAGCCGCGCGCCCCCCCCCCGCCTTGCGAGATCCGCGGCGCCTTTCGCGAGGACGGGCCTTTCTTCCCTAAAACCTGCCCTTACCTAGGAAAAGCTGAGCAATTCACAGAGTTGCTGTTTTTATCCCGGCTTCCCAAAGGACTTCTCTCTCCCGGCGGCAGCAGCAGCAGCAGCAACGCTCCCTGCAAAGCCCCGACCGAGGCTGGGAATGGACACACAACAAGCGAAGAACATTAACTCGGCCCCAAAACACTCCACAACAAAACAATTTAAAGTCACTTTTGTCTCATCCCCCCATGCAGGCACAGGCTTTGGGATTCCAAGGCAAACCCTGAGAGGCCCAGAGAGCAGCAGCCCCTCATCCCCAGCACGGCCTCCCCCGGGGTCCCCCAGCCAGGAACCAGGCTACCCAGCCCCTGCTGTGCAGCACAGCACGCGGGGGGATGACTTTTGGGACCCCTCCCTGGCCGTTGCACAGCAATGCAGGCATCGGGGCCAAGTCCTGCCCGGCCCCCAGGTACTGCAGACAGTTCAGCCCCAGCAGCAGTGGGCTGTTCTGCCTCTTGCTCCCCTCTCATTTGGAACCAAATGGTGAGGAACAATGACCCAAACGTGAACCAAATCCACCCCAAAAACTGACCCAAATCACCCCCAAAAATGACGCAAAACTGACCCCAAAAACTGACCCAAATCATCCCAAAAACTGACCCAAAACTGACCCAAATTCACCGCAAAAACTGACCCAAATCACCCCAAAAAATGACCCAAAACTGATCCAAATCATCCCAAAAAATGACCCAAAACTCTGCATTTATTTGGCATCATTTGCTCTCAAAAACAAAATCTCCAATTTAGTTGATTGCTAAAGCCATGATTCTAAAATCATCTCAGGAATCAAAAGGGACTGGAAAACACACAGAAATCATTCCTAAACCCACCAAATCATTATTAATTGGAACCCAATTCCCTCATCTCTCTCCTTGTTTTTCTTGGCTGGAAAACCTGATGATCCCCACTGGCTATTTTTAGGCTGGTTTTCTTCCACAGCTCCTTTCTCCCCGCTGAAACCTCCTGGCATATTGGAGGGAAGCCCCTTTGATGTATTTCCTCTCGTGGCAATTCTGTGGGATGAAGAAGTAAAAAAGGCACGTCAAGAGCTTAAGGATCCTAAAACAACTAAGACACTTAAAAAAAAAAAAAACACAGAGGAGGAAACAGGCCAATATCATGGCAAGTTGTGCCCTTCCTCCAGTGCTGATGAAATCATACACAGCACCAAGTAAGGCTCAAAGTGGGCTTGTCCCAGTCAAAGTGACTCACTACAAGATACGCAGGGGGGGAAATATGGCAAAAGCACAGACACCAGGACATTCTGGTGCCGGCGCGAGCCCGCGGCACTTCGCTCTGGGCTCTGGGGTTCTTTTGGGCTGGTTTTGGGTGCGAGTTTTGGGGCACTGCGCACACCCTCCCCAGGTCACAGCCCCGCCCCAGCTCGCTGCACCCTACTGCACTCCCCGTACCCCTTGCTCAGGCCTGCGGGGATTTGTGCCTCCTCTGAAGGTGGCAAATGTCTGCAAAGCGACTCGGGAAGCCACTCCCACTCTTTCTTTTCCAGCCTTTTCTGCCCAGCACCGCAGTGGTCGAAAAGGAAACCAGAAAAACAGGAAAAAAAAAAAAAGAACAAAACAAATAAATCGCACCATGCCAACTCCCAGCTCCTCCCGCTAAGCCCAGGCAGACCCCGTCCGCCGCCAGGCCCCGAGAGCTGCAGCCCCCGGGCCCCGCCGCGGCTTCCCCGCCCTCACCCGGCACCTGCCGCCCGTCCCGCCCCGCAGCGCCGCTCCCGCTGCCGCCCTCGAACACAAGGAACGAACCCCGTGCCCCCAGCACAGGCCGGTCCCTCCCCGGCAGCCTCGGCAGCGCCGGGAGCGGCCGCAGCCCCCAACGACGGGCGGGGCGCGCCGGGAGGGGCCGCGCGGGGCGGGGGCGGGTCCCGCGGCTGCGACCCCGCGGGGAAGGGGCCCCCGGGCCGGCCCCGTCCGGCATCGCCGCTGGCCCTGCTCGGCCACCGCCCCTCGCCTCGCCCACAGTTTCAACATTATTAAGCCAAGATTTAATCCCAAGCACCACAAGATCCCAACTGCGGGGGATTTCCATGGACTTGTTATTTTTCTCTTTTTAATGACCGGTTTGCGAAAGTCAGGGAAATACGATCAGCATTCCCTAAACACCATCACTTCCATATCCACCTGCGATCAGGGGCCGATGGGCAGCAGCCTGCCCCGGACGGGTCGCAGGGATGGTGTGAAGGCCATCGTTCCGCTTCAGTGGAGCACCTGCGCGTGCGCGCCCTTCTTTGCAGTACCGCTTTCAGTCACCAGGTGTCACCCGCGAGTCACCGCGCACACGCACTACCCGAGTTCGCCACCAGGCGGCAGCAGCGGTTCCCGCCCCAGCCGGGGGGGGGGGGCAGCGAGAGGGGACCGGAAAAACCTCCCAACACACAGAGCCCTTTCTATTGCCACCAGAGCGGTCACATTTTGTCACATTTTTGAGCCCTCTGTGGTTTAATTTAGATATACAAAAGTTATATTTGTATTTAGAATTTCTTATATTCTAGGATCCTGTATATAATACAATATATACAGGGCTTTATTTTGAAATCAATTTATATGTAAATTAATATTATTTTTCAATATATAGCAAAAGAGCAACAAGGCCGGTGAAGGGACTTAAACGCAAGTCCTACAAGGAGAGGCTGAGGGATCTGGGGTTGTTTAGCCTGGAAAAGAGGAGGCTCAGGGGAGAACTCATCACTCTCTACAACTCCTTGAAAGGAGGTTGTAGCCAGATGGGGGTTGTCTCTTCTCCCAGGCACCTATCGCTAAGACAAGAGAGCATCGTCTTAAGCTCTGCCGGGGAGGTTTAGGTTAGATATAGGAAGAAATTCTTTACAGAGGGGGTAATCTGGCATTGAAATGGGCTGCCCAGGGAAGTGGTGGATTCTTCGCCCCTGGAGGTTTTTAAGATGAGACTGGATGTGGCACTTAGTGCCATGGTCTAGTAACTGCAGTAGTGTCGGAGCAAGGGTTGGACTTGATGATCTCAGAGGTCTTTTCCAACTTTGCTGGTTCTATGATTCTACGAAAAAGAGAAATGTTACAGTTTTTAATACATTTAACGCACATCCACCTCCCACAAATTTTCAGGCCTTTTGGTGCTGTAATCTCCCTTTTTTGGGAGGACCCCCGCACGACCCTCCTCACCCCCCACTCACCTGCTCCTCCACCGCATCCTCGCTCTCCCAGAGGCATTGGGATGCCTCTAATGACCTCATCACCCCCCCAGACTCCTCTACATCCCCCTTTTTACTCACCCCCAAAGGTGGAAGAGAGGGAGAGCGGGTACAAGATTGGGGTCACAAGACAGAGGGAGAAGAGGGGACAAGAAGAGGAGAGGAGAAAAGGGGTGGAAAAAAGAGGGGAGAGGAGAGAAGGTGCGGAGAGCACAAGGGAGGGAACAGGGAAGAGATAAGAGCAGAAGGGGAGAGAAACCAGGGAAAGGGCAGACAAAGGGCCAGAAAGGGGAAAGAGAAGAGGGAAGGGAGGGGGAGAATAGAGAGGGAAAAAAGGTGAGTCAAGAGATGAGAGCAGGGCATGCAAGGGGCAAAGGGGACTCGTGAGGGGGACCCTTGCAGGGGTATATACAGTTTGCCATCATTTGAGTGGGAGAATTTAGAGGAGACAGCGACAGGTGGGAGGGCAACTCACAGCACTCTGCCAGGTATGAAGTCGGACTCAGGGCCAGGTTTTGATTTCCATATGGTTTAATAAATTAACAGATTCAGCCATTACACAGCAATAGACTTCTTCAAGATTTACAAAGGTGCAAGAACTTCATTTAGTCATAAGTAGTTTTATTCTCCTCTCTTAAATAGCTACAACAGTTCCAATTCTTTTCCCCCAAACAATCTGGGGTTAAAATAATCCACCCAGAGAGAAGGCATCAAAGTACAAAAGAGAACACACAAGGAGGGGCACTAATTCAAATTCCGTGTGGGTATTTGGTCCAGTACCTTACAAGCAAGGAAAGGTGGTGTGGAGTAGTCATGCCTGTAAGAAGGAGCTGCAATATCACAAGTACACAAAGACCTTTGCCAGAAGTTTGAACACCAGCGGGATTGTTACTCTACCATGAGACTCACCATGACCTTGCAGTGGGGGAGGTCGGATGGAGAGAACAATGCAAAAGACCAAACCAACACAAACAGCAGCCTCCCAACATTCAAGAGTCTCCCCAGCTACCCAGAAATTACCTCTCTGTAGGTTTAGCAAACAATGAGCCAAGAGAAGCCGTTGCGGGAAGGAAATTGCACCGCCAGAGACAAAAAAAACATAACAAAAACATTTTTAAGATTAAACTTTGCCATGTGCCCAGTTCTAGTCTAGAAATAGCACATGCCCGTGTTGTTCTTTCATGGTTTGGAGAAGTTCTCATTATGTTCCCCTCCACTGAACCGGTTCTCCACCCGAGTAGTCTTCCCTTGCTCTTCCCCACTTCAGCCAATCTACCTAAAAACCCGTCCTCAACTACGTAAACAACACAAGGGTGCTCGCAGGAGCAGGAGTTGGACTCGCTCAGGTCTGTGCAAGAAATGGATACAAATGGACAGAAGGCTTTCCCGACCCACCCCTTGGTGCTGTCATCCCCAGCCCCTTTGCAGCATTCCCAGTACAGGTGTTTGCAGAGTGTGCTCTAATTATAACCATGTGCAAACACACAATCCCTTTGGCCTCAGTCAGACATCCATCGTGCCAAAGCCTACAGCACCCTCAGAACACTGAGGTTGTGTAGTTCCCTTCATTTCTTCCTGTGCCTGACTCAAACATAGCCTTAATGGGCCAACATCAAGGGCTTTTTTTGATAAGGAGGCTCTTAAAAAGCCTTACCAAAGCATAGGGAGAGGGTGTATCCAGAGAGAAATACACGTACAAGCATACTTGCAGCTAGAGCAAATCTATTTTCTTCAGAGCAGTAAAACTACACAACATAAGTAAGTTCTAGTAATTCTGTTCAGCCAAAATTAAAAAAAAACCAAAAACAAAAACACAAACCCAAACCCTCAGCAAAATGAAACCAAAACAAACAACAAAACCAAAACCAACCAAACAACAACCAACCAAACAACATACCCCTCACAAACAAAAAAAAACCAAAATGGCTACTTTGGCTTCATTTACCAGTCACTGTTCGTGCTTGTGTATCTGACAGTGAAGCACAGCATTTGGAATGCAGGCCCCCATCAGCAGGTTGAACTCCTTCAGAACTCTCCATGCATTCATGCCACCGCTCTGCTCCTCTTCTTCCATCGCATATTTAGTCAAGGACCAATTTCACAAGGTGCAAATATTGAGCCTACCCTGAGACAACAATCTGCCAACTGCAGATTATTCAAGCTTATAAAGTTCGACAGCAGCCTCGCCACGCCCTGGGGCTGCTCTGTGGTCCCAGCATTATGAAATGCCACAGACCCTGCAGCAGCACCAAGGTGAGGGCATGGGTATCTGGAAGAAGTTAAACAGGGAAATCAGATTTCAAATACCACTTCTTCTGTCCTAAAGCCAGAAGCACTGGCAGGAATTAAACACAAAAGAGGTTTCTTTAAGCAGCCATTCTACGGGGGAAAATTTCCAGGGACTCAGTCTTTACAGCTTCTGGAGGCCAAAACCCCGTGTGACCTTCCCTTTCCTTCTGAGAAGACTAGGATAGAGGAATTGTTTCTCACACCAATAACCACACCTGCCCCATGAGGCTCACACCTTTGGGAAGCTCACATAGTTGGGACTAACAAAATCAGCACCTACTGCTTGGGGGATCAAAACGTTTCTGCAAAGGAGAAAGGAAGCCATATACAGATATGATGAGGAAGGATCAACGTGTTAATCAGGAGCATATCAGAACTAAAAAACTTCCAATACACACAGATGAGCCCTTTCCCCCTCATTCCTTTGTAGCTAAAACAGCAGTTTAGCCAAACACCTTGAAAACCAATCTGCACTTACTAGGAAGGTTTAAAAGAATATAAAAGGTTACAATATATCAGTATGACTTTGATAAGAAACAAAATGGCAGAAAATACATCTCCACTAGGAAACACAAGCAGATGCAGGACTTAATGTTTGGGGATGTGCTCTGTCAGCACTTGAAAATACCCCTTTCTTTTGCAAGCTGTCTAACCAGATACAAATTTACAGTGCACTTTACTGCCTGTGATAAAAAAATTGCTAAAAATTCAAGGGAAGATGTGCCCCTACCATCATGCTTCCCATCTGCCATTCATTCTGCTGACCACAGTGCAGGAATCTTTGCCACATCAAAGCTCAAAATCAAAACCAGTACCTCCACTGTGAACAGGAGGCATAGCCTGGAGCCAGCCAGGAACAAATACAGGAAAGCCCACAGACACATGGCAGGAATTCCCATTTAACACAGCTAGAAAGGTCCCCAAGGTCAGTGAGGAACTCAAGTTTCAGTTTTACTCCCTTTCCTATCACTTCTTCCTCTGAGTCAGACCAAAACATGCTGGTCAAGACTCTGGGTACATGTTTGTCAGACATAAATCTCACCTTTTCTGCCTCCAGTCCACAGCAACAACGCTGGCCAGTCCTCATAGCCCTCCTAGTGTACATGAGCCCCAGATCCCCGATTCAGAAGCCCAATCATCCTCGGTGTTCACCTCCAGCTGCTCCTCACCACAACAGCTTGAGCTGCTCTTGAAGTTTAAAGAACAGACTTGTGGCAAGTCCTGTGATTAACCCACAACTGATGAGCTGCTGGCTCTTCTGCAAGTTCCCTTCCGCTCAAACCAGTGTTTCCACTGCAAGGCTTCCCAGTCATCCCACTAGAGAAGCACTGCTGTCTGGGTTCAGCCAGCACTCTCACCTGACATGGTATTAAAAAGAATAAATAAAAACCAAAAATCAAGCATCAAATACTTTCACAGCTACAACTCATAGAGGGGAAGGTGCAAGAGAGAATGCCAAACTGGAACCAAACCCCAGGACTCTGGGGAGAAAGGGCATGCTGGGGAAGGACAGCACCATGTGTGACACCACCAACCCAGCAAAGGAAGGCCACGTCCAACTGGTGGCTGGATCCATACATGAGAGCCACAGATTGCCAGGTTCCACCAGCACCAGAGCATGAACTGGTCACTTGCTTCGAGGAAAATGATCTTCAGAGAGAAACAGAGACTTCTCCAACACCCATAGTGCATGGAACTGCAAACAAAGCCACAGTACTACGTGGACAAGGAAAGAAACAACGGATAGAAGACATGGCAGAGCTTGAGGATGACAAAGACTCCGGCACCAAACCAAATGAAGAGGTTCCTGGTCAGCCAGTTGGACCAATCTTATTTTTCACACGTGCCCAATCACATGGGGAATCAGCAGGAAAAACAAGGAGTCCCTCCTCCTGCTGGTACACACTGGCACTTTCAATTCAAGCCCCAGGTGACTATGGCCTTCCCTACCTGCACAAACACCCAAGAGACACCCTGAGGCTCTCACCTGTAAATCCTTTCACAGCACAATATCCAGAGACGTTCCAGTCTTTGGAAATGGCACACGGCAGCAGTATGAGTAAGGATTTGTCCTTCCAAAGAACACAACACATTTTATGCATGCCATCAAGAGAACTACTTTTCCAGTTGGTAGCATCCTGCACTGGGCAGGGCAATAGCCATTACCTCAGGAGGTACTGAGACAGGGGAGCAAAGCTGGCGAATCCAGCCAGGCCTAGGCAACAGATCTTCCGTGAGTTGTTTCCTCCCCTCTGTTCCACTTCCTTAACCTTACAACCCACAGGAGAAGAGGAGCTTCCACTCAAACTAGGCATGCTGGCAGGGGCATGGGTGTTTCTCCAAAGAGCATTGTTACGCTCTTCAAAGGGAGCCTCTGGGGACATTATATTCACAATGTGCACCGGTCAGGAGACCAGGCAACCATTCATCTAGAAGGGCGGTCTCCTCCCACACAAGGAGTCGATTTTCCCCTGCATGCCCCTCCCTCTGCAAATACCACTGCAGAAATGCCCCCTCTGTTTGAAAGCAGTGGATTGGGTTTGCTAGAAGAAAGGAAATACCAAACGCAATCAAGAAAGGTTCCTTCTATTACAGGAAACCCTTTCATCAGTGAAAACATGTAAAGTCTTGTCTCTTTCTACCACGTGCCTTTAGGTTCCCCATCAGACTGCCCTTTCACCACATTTCTTGCCATATTCCTTGCCATCCATTCCCAGCATGGTGCCAGTCCTTGGCACGAGAACCACGAGAGTGCACGAGGCCGGGCCCTCCACAGATCCAGAAGACAGGTTGGCACCTCTTTGGCAACATCCCCAACCACTCCCGAGGGTAAGGGATCTGCTCATAGGACAGCTGGTGCCGTACATGCAGCACGGCCCCTTCGCTGTTCAAGAACGTGGCTGTGGAAGGAGGGCTGCACCACAGGGTGAATGCACAGGATGGCAGAACTGACAGCACTGACCAGGCATTCTTGCAAGGGCCCAGGCTTCTACAAGAACTTGTGCAGTGGTTAAAACTTTCTTCTTCTTAGAGACTCCTTCCTTCACCAGCATAGCACAGAAAGCAGGGGTCCCTCAGTGCTGTCCGAACCAGGGACTGTTCCAAGGATGGTTCCCAGGTGGAGAACCACAGCTTGTTCCGCTGCCAGATCACAGCCCAGGAATGCATGGCCCCGAGCACACCTCAGGTTACAGCCTCTGCACCAAGGACAAGCAATAAGAGCATTTAGATCATCAGTGACCGCATCATTCTCTCTCGTTAAAAGAGCTGAGCGAGGCTACATCTCACACTTCTCAGCCATGTAGCTCACCCAGTAGTTTCTTGATCTGTAACACTGAAGGCTGCCACTTGAGAGACCTGCCTCCCATTTCCAAGAGGCAGCTCATGATGCCAGATGGCTACACAGGTGGAGTCACATCTGCAGCTCCTGGGACCCCCAGGGGGATTAGCATGACACCTGGATTTTCTGGGAGAGCACAGTGGGGTACAATAATCAGAGAAGGCTAAGCCAAGGCAGACGAGCAGCCTAAGTCCCAGGTTTGCTACCTCCACTCCCCAGATGGTGTAAAGCACTGGGGTGCCTTCCCTCAGCCAAGGCTGGAAAGAACTGGACTGCAGGTCACAGATACCATGGAGTGGGAAGACAAGAGACTATAAAACGATCTCTGAGAAATCTTTCCAATAGGCTTCTCCCTCCTTCAGTTCTCACCAGCTGATGTGCTGTCACTGCCTTTGGGTTTGGATTTAGACTTGAAGGAGAAGCGCTTGATGAGGCGATGAGAGAAGCTACCAGCTTTCTTCCTGGCAACAGAGTTGGCAGTGACGTTAGACAAGTCATCGTGTGACTGGCTCAGGCCCGCTTCCTTCTGCTTGCTCCTTCTCCGGAAGATGAGCTTGGTACCACTCCGAAGAAAGCTAACTGCAGAGACAGAAAGGAAGAAGACAGAAACCATGAGAGTGTCCTGCCCGGGCAAGTTTCAGGGACAGTAACACACCTGGCCATTCTCAGATTTGCAGCAAAGACCTCTCCAACTCAGGTGGCAGAAGTCACAGCAGTCTGCAAATCCCAGCTCCCAAATGCAAGGCAAAGTCTCTGTTCATGATAGACTGCAATGCCAACAAGCTGATTCACTAAGCATTCCAAACCATGTCCCCTCTGCATAAACATCCTTCCTTTTACACAACATCCTTCCCTCACTGGAAGTATGAAGAATTGTAATAGAAAGCCAAGATTCATATGAATGGAAAATGAGCGAGAACACCTGAATGTTAAGACCCTGGGAAGAACACACAGGGGGGAAAGGCCTCAGACTAACCTGTCTCAAGGGCACACAGATTAACTGGTCATCAAGCCCCCTGGAACAATTGCCCGCAGTTTCACATGCCCTATCTGGAGGCAAATAATGCCAATGGCTCCCTATGACTCACACAGGCACGAGAGAATGGAGACGCCAATTGCCATCAGTCTCAAATGGATCAGAAAGGTATATTCAAAACCTGCACGCCATACAGCACTACAACAGTATTTCTTGCAAGAGGGGGTTTTCCCTCTCTTCCCCACCCACCAGGTCTCTCAAGAATCTGGGTCATGCACCTTTCTACCCCCTGACATGAAAACAGGGGGCCTCCACAGTTCAAACCATACCTGGTTGTAACAGGGTACAACCCCCCAAAACTTGTCCTACTCTCATATTCTGAGCAATCAAGATTGTGATTTGCATTTGTTTACATAAGTCAGTAGCTAACTGAAAATGTTGTGGCTACGAGCAGACCAACCCAAGGTGTGCCATCCACCCAACTGCCACAAGCGAGTAAAATCCAGAACAGCAGCTAGGCTGGGGCAGGCCTGCTCCATCATTTAAAAGCAGAGAATTTGTGTGGACATCCTACAGTATAACAGGTCAGAGGCAGTAGCTGCTTCAATACTAGCAGAGAAAGAAGGAGGGCATAAAGGCCCGTACAATCCACATTGTTGAGCAGCCTCCATTTCCACACCAGAGGTGGCCAAATTCAGAGGAGGAATCATTATTTACAGACATGCACCTGGATCTGTAGATGTAGAGGCCACAGAAAGAAAACGGTTCTCTGACGTACACAAGCTGCACAGGGTTCCCATTTAAGAGAGCACAGAAATTGAAAAGGCTACTGGAATTGTATACCTACAAATAGAGGGATTTGGAACCACTCCAGTGGAAAGCATAGGAGAGAGACAGGCTCTTCCAGGCTCCAGTAAAAAGCTGCTCTTCGTCATGCCAAAAGCTGGCTGCAGACCCCATTCTCGGGTGGGGAACTCGGATGTCACTTTGTCCTTACATACAACAGGCCAATGTTAGCCACCATCTAACAGTTCATCTTACCTTTGTGATCTTTCAAGCTCCTGGTCTCAAGGGCTCCCGTGGAGCCAGTTTCAGACTCAACATCTTCCACTGATGGTCTTTCAGAGATGTCTGAACGTGTTGTCTCATCCAGCTCCTGACTGGCCCGTTGTCTGAGCAGTGACGCTTCCAGCGGCTGTGACGATTCAGTAGAATCGTGCATCTGGTCAGCTGTGCTCTCTGCTGCAGAGTCCCCAAACGCTGTGGCCTCCAGGGATGCAGCATAACCCAGAGAAAGTGCCATTTCATCTTGAGCAATAGGTACCTGAAGGGCGGGCAGACAGACATGGAGACAGGACCGAAAGAATTGCAACCATCTCCCTTCTTCCATCTACACCTACATACGGATGCTCCGGTTCTGATCATCAGACAGCACTGATGCACAATCATCATTTTTTTGCTGAAACATACTGCAACACTGCCGATTACAGAGCATTCTGCAGCACCTCCCTCACTCCCACAGTCAAGTTCAAGGAGAACTCCTTATATTCTCCATGAGGGTCAAAACCAGCTATGGCAGCAGGCTCCCTTTCTGCAGATGCCCTTAGTGAACTCCCACTGGCAGCTGCCCTGTAGCCTGGCAAGGTACCTTCTAATGCTCACTGGGAAGCAGCAAAAGGCTTCTGCTGAGCCAGTCATCTGTGTTGGAACCTTCCCAAACTGGTCCCTACAGGACAGGGTAGTTTCACACATGCATTCCTAGAAACAACCTCCCAGACTGGAAATGCAACTCTGATCTACCAGAGACCTTGGAAACTCCTGAGATGATCAGTGTGCTACGTTTTGTTGGTGTCTTCTTGGTGGTCCTGTTATTTGTCTCAGTTAGCTGCCTGATCGCCGTCTCAGCCACTGGATCCAAACCATTGGGCATATGGCCATCCCCTGAACACAAGAAAAATACCAGTGCTTGGAGTAGCAAACCTTCAGCACAGGCAAAAGGTCGCTTGCTGACTGCGATACTTGTAATAGGCAATTTACATGCACACAAAGGTAGAGAACAGAATTTATTACAGACCTGTCCAAACAACCCAAAGGAAAGAAGCTCTGCATAGCTAGCTCTTGGCTTTTTTAGGCATTTCCCAGCAGGCATATCATTAAAATATCCCTACCACTCAATAAAAGCTTCCAAGGATTCCCAAGAGCTTGGGCAGCCCTGGCTGCAAACTGTCCAAACTGTTTCAGTGCTCTGTTTCAGAGACAATCAGAGCCCAGGGTGCAGGGTGACCAAAGTTTTTTGGGTCCGGAGAGCCTGGAAAGTTCTTGTCAAGCAAGGAAACACTCAGACTCACTGACTGGATAGCCAAAGCAGAATGTCTTATACCTGCCTCCACCTCACCACTGGTCCTCCGGCCCTGCCTTCACTCAGGCACCTGGACATCCTCCGCCGTAGCAAATGTAAACAAGCTCAGTGAACCACATTCAGACTACCACTTTCCAAGAAAGGCGAAAAAAAACAGTTACTCCACTAAGAGCCTCGAATTTTTAAGCACTTACGGCTACTGCTGGGCAAGGGGCCATGAGGACAGCCAGTCTCCAAAAGCACTGTTGTCTTCTTTTCAGTCACTTCCACCTTAGAAGGTGACCTCGATGGTGAATCTTCATGGCAAAAGAGACACAGATACCAGTAAGTGCAGATGAAGCTTAGGCAACTATGCTATTGTATTGCGGTCCCTACACACAACCCCAAAAAGCCTCCATCGAGTGTGCGGAGATCCTGCAAGGCTGGCTCTGTAAGGCTTTGCGGCAACGAAGCAGTAAGAAGCCTACTGAGAAAACCATAGAATCACGGAACGGTTTGGGTTGGAAGGGACCTTAAGGATCATCTCATTCCAACCCCCCTTCCACTAGACCAGGTTGCTGAGAGTCCCATCCAGCCTGGCCTTGAGCACTCCCAGGGATAGGGCAGCTACAGCTTCTCTGGGCAACCTGTGCCAGTGCCTCACCACCCTCACAGGGAAGGATTTCTTCCTAATAGCTAATATAAATCTACCCTCCTACAGCTTTAATCCATTCCTCCTTGTCTTATCACTGTAAAAGGTCCCTCTTCAGCCCCCTTTAGGTACTGGAAGGCTGCTTGCTATAATGTCTCCCCAGAGCCTTCTCTTCTCCAGATTGAACAGCCCCAACCTCTCAGCCTGTCTTCATAGGGAAGCTGTTCCAGGCCTGTGACCAACTTAGTGGCCCTCCTCTGGACTCACTCCATCAAGTCCACATCTTTCATATGGTAGGAGGCCCAGAGCTGGACATAATACTCCAGGTGAAGTCTTACAAGAGCAGAGTAGAAGGGGAGAATCACATCCCTTGGCCTGCTGGCCATGCTTCTTTTGATGCGGCCCAGGATACGGTTGGCTTTCTGGGCCACAATCCTGTGAAGCAGCTGCTCGCAGGACCTCATTTGTGCCATTTCCCAACCGCATCTCATGGAATATCCAGCACCACATGCATCAGGATGCCAGACTGCAAGCAGCAACTATCCCTAGTAAGTAAGGTCAAGACCCTTTTGGCTCCACATTCACTACATACAGCATAACTTCTTTAGCAGTGAAGGAAACAGAGGAAGAGTGGCTAAACACTTAGCCCAACATCACACAGAGGTTATGTGACGGCATATGCATTAGACCTCCCACCACCAAAGGATGTGAGAGAGGCTCATCCCTCCCTCACCTCCCCGCAAACACAGGGCTGCATCAATTCCCTCCCCCAGGGCTATACTCAAGTTTCCAGCCAGCCACAAGACACTCAGGGAACAGCAAGGATGCCCGTGTTCTGACCCACAAGCCGAAAGCAATGCGCAACCTGCAATAACCACATGTGATGGCAAAACAGTTTTGCTACTACCTGCATGAGCTGCCTCGGGAGTATCGTGGCTAAGACTGTGCTGCCATAGTAGCCACCTGCACAGTATACCCGCTGCAGGGCAGCCTCACCCAGTTTGCAGTCTGCCTTGGGCCGGGACTGAATCGTGGTGACAGTAGTCACGATGGTGCCATCGGGCATGATGGTCCGGTCCATCTCCACCTTCTTAGTGGGGGTGATGCTGGTTCTCAGAGATGTGGTGTGCTGAGCATTCAAAGATGCAGGAGACTCCTGGAATAGCAGCTATAAAGAGTAAAGCACTGCTCAGAGAGGGTCTGTTCCTCCCAGATGCAAAGGCAGGCATATTGGGGCAGCAAAAGCTAGGGCTCTGGGTACTGAGGAGCCATCCCCACTACAGTGGCAATTCAAGAGGGAAGCTCAGGAACCGAGGCTCAGGCAACACCCCTCCTTGACATAAGGGTTTGCCAGCCCCCAACTCGAGCTCAGCCCCAATCATGCTTGTCTCCAGCTAGAGGCTCACATCATGAACACTTTCAGAGCATACATTAGTGCAGAGCTTGTGGAGTTGTGAGCTCACCTCCAATGTAATGGTAGCTTCAGCTGTCAGTGACTGCCCAGGCCCTGGGACCAGTGAGCAGACGTGTCTTCCAGATGGTTGTTTGCCCAAAGAATCAATCAAAAGTGTGGCATGTGCCAGCAGCACATCTGCAAGAAGGAACAGGAGAATGAAACACACCAAATGACCTTAGCACCTCAGATATCTCCCAGCCATCTCCCTGCTCTTGGAAAGCAGCCCCACGGGCCAACAAAGCAGATTCCCACAATATTGCCAGCTCCCAGGTTCAAGAGGGAGAAAGGGCAGGCAGCACTCCTCCGCTCCTCTTTAACAATCCAGAAATCAACTCCCTTAAAAAGGTGGCCATTGTGTGGCCTCCATCAAAAATAGGTGCTACAGTTAGTCCCTGACTGAGTACAAATGAACAGAGTTAAGAGCCTTCTGCGAAGTTCTTCCAATACATGGGGGCATGCCTCTACTGCTTCAGAGCAGAGATGGGCAGGCCACAGAGGAATCTCTGAGTTCAAGTCAGACTCAGACCATTTTGGTAAGAAAAACTGAGTTACTTCACGCAGACAGAGGCTCACATAAAGCTGGATATGAAAAATCCTTTGCAGAGTTCATCACGCATCATATCGACACAGAACTACCACAAGCTTAAAGCACAGTAAGTCCCTTAGGCATTTTTGTCTCCCTATCTTACAACCCATCTTATGGTTGCCCATACTCACTTCCCATTCTGTCGCTATTCCCCAGCACCTGTAGCTTCAGCTCTTTGCTTTTAGGCCCCAACTCCCTGTTGAAACAGAAAAAGATGGGCTGCTGTTAGGCACTGTTTGCAAAGTGGCCACAGAGCAAACAACTCCATTCTGTATCTTCTCTCCCTCAAATCTCACACACCTCGTCACCTTCTCCAAAGCTCCAGTACGCGTGCACTGCTTTGGAGGACATGTCTAGGGCAGAAACTACACAGAACAGAACTCTGTTTTGTGTCCCCTGCAGGGCTGTGTAGGCCGCCAGAGGAAGTTGAGAGGGCAATCTGTCTGGAATGCTGAGAGATACATTACAGCCCTCCTGTGCCTGCCGCTCCCACAATCAGCGCTTCATCCCACCCAGTTAAAATACAGAGTGTCCAGAGTAGTGGGAAATATGTACACGCAGGCTGGGGCCACTTGCTGGAAGCAGCAGCACCACCACAGGAGCAGCACAAACAGACACTGCCTTGTGGTGCCAGCCTCCACCTCTGCACCAACCACAACTGTTACTGCAGTGTGGGAATGACACCCAGAGAGTGTGCCAGTTCGGAAGAAGGGCAGACACTTACAGAAAGAGCTCCTCATTCCACTCCATCTCTCCTGCAGCACTGGCACTGCCAGCTGTCATCGGCCTTGTCCACTTCTGCTGCGGGGGGCTGTCTAGCTCCGCTACACAGCATATCTCCCCAACTCCTGCAACAGAGGGACAGAGGGCATGCGTGCACTCATCAGCATGAGGCAATGGTTCAGCAGACACACACCCCTCTTTTCCATTCAAATCCACCCAAAACATCCACTCACCCCAATCTCACCACCTGCGCACCTGCCCCTGTGGATCAGCAATGTTTTCACGCTTACCTCCCTTCCCCTGGCAGCCCAAGTTCAGCACTCGAAGATTCCGGAGCAACAGCTTAGAACCCAGAGGGGCTGCTGCTACTCCGGACGGGGACTCTCGAATCAACTTATTGCTGGGTACCTGAGGAATGACGAGAGCGAGACCGATGCCTTTATCGTTCACTCGCCAGCAGACAGCAGCAAGACGCATGACGTTGGTCCTCATATCTACTAAGTAGCTCCTCACACCAACACGGGAACACCCACAGAGCCATCCAGAAATGCTACAGCTATCAAGCTCCAGTGGGCCCTCGTGTTATGTCAGATGGGAAGTTTAAGGCAGACAGAAAAGGAGACAGGCAAGAACAAGCTTGCTGGCTGCCAGACGGTCAATTGACAATGACAAACCATGGACCATTCCATGTCTGCAAAGGCTGCCCCGGACAGAGCCTTGGTGTTCAGGGCAAGGGAGACTGCCAAAACTGAGATGTGTCTCAGGCAGTCTGGCTCCAAAACAACACGACCGACAATCAGCACTCAAGAAACAAGGCACAAACAGAGCTGCCCTTCGAAGCAGTTTCTAATTATCCCTACGCCCCAAGTTGCAGAACCCCAACTCCTATGACAGTGCAGGTCAGGATTCAGCTGTCACCCAGAAGTGAGACTCAACCCTTGGATTCCTGCCTGAGCCTCAGCCCTCAGAAGTGTCCTGGGGCCTGAGTTGGAGGCACAAGGATGACAGGAGGAGAGTGCCTTACCGCACTGGCTCCAGCGGTGCAAGCCACCAGGTTCACTGTCATGGCTGGCTGCGTGCTGACAATGGTATCCTCGATCAGATCCCTTATCGTGGACAGATCCGCTCTCCCTTCATCCTTCTCTCCACAAATCAAGAGGAAATGCAGGAAAGTCATAAAAAACCCCACATTTTCTCCTTTTACAACTACAGCTGCCTCCCAAGCCTCTAAGGTATAACACAGTCTTTCTCCCAGTAATAACCTCCCAGATACTCTTTCTGTATCCCATACTCACTCTCCCCAGTGAGCTTCCATGTAGCAGCCGCACAAATGAAGTTTTCTAAATGAGACAAACTAGGCCTCTACATCTGTAGTCTACCCATTGTAAATTTTTGCAATACAGCTTTTATAGTTTGTCACATCCTCACTACCTCACAAGATGGTACTACCGCACTATTGGGAAAACTGACACATTCCTACATCTACTCGGGATAAAGTAACAAAGATGTCGATAAAACAAACAAATCGACCAACCTATTTGAATAACAGAAGCGCAAGCACACCCACATTCAGCCCATTAAACCTCTAACACCTGTGGGTTCCCCACATTAATCTCTCAAGAAAACCCCAAACAAACACAACAACAAGCAAATACCACCTCACACACTCCTCACATACAAAAAACATGCCAACCCAGCTCATCTTGCAGCTCTACATCTGACAAAAGCAGGAGGAACCTACATAGACAGAAAGCCTTCAACAGTTATTGGTACCGCTTCATGTCTCTTGAAGATGCGTTGTTTTGACACAGCTGAGCTAGTATCGATTCCAGAGTGAAAGAATCCTCTCCCTAAAGGGCCACAGCAGCAAGTTGCCAACCTTCCCCCTCCACAGCAGCCTTTCTCCCAGCTCAACACTGTTTCTACTGCTCCCTCCCTTCCTGCATCAAGGTCAGCCTCTCACCATGCGCCACTCACCTCAGGAAGCTGAACTCTTGGAAGAACCAAAAGGTCCAAGTCTGGTCTGTCCTTGAATGTCCATGACACCAGGAGACCCTCATTCTCTATCTCCTCCAAGTGGATCTCCACCTGGCTCAGAACAAATACCCATAGTCAGGAACAGTTTCTGTTTACATTACGTGCTTTTTGCCCCACTTCAAATTCAGTGATTGAAAGGCAATCGCACCAATGCAACAGTAAGAGACAGAACATAAGAACAAAAGTGCTCCCAGGCCTATAGGATAAAGCAGCTGCAGAAGCCTCATTGCTCCATAGCAAGATCTGGCTTCCTCACTACTGGTAAGTAACCAGTAAGAGGTGCATAGAATAAGAAAGGCACAATTTTTGGGAATACAGTACTTGAAGTATTCCAACAGTCAGGTATATGATAATCTAACCAGCATTTCCTAAAGCAGCAGCAAGACCTCAATTAGAGTACCACATGCAATTCTGTACAAGAATAATCAACCCAACACTTCAGCAGGTGCAGACAAGGAATCCTAGAAAATGCTAGTGAGTAGGGGAGCAATTGGATGAGATGTGAGACAGGGGACTTTCAAAGATGAAAAGCAACTTCAGTTGCTGCACACAACTAGACTGGCAGCAGGCACACTAAATACTGAGGAGAGAGAGGAGCTATTTAAACGACCGCAGAACACAGGCTCAAAATAAAACTGGGATGACCTGGGATGTACATTCAAAATTATAATAAGGCTTCTGAGAGCAAAGGGGTTCCAGAACAACTTTCCAACTGCAATACCTGCAATAGCACGGGATTGGCTTCTGCTACCACCGAGTTACTTCTAATTTTGCTGTGACTTTTTTTTTAACTATTTTTTTTATTTATTTATTTTGCTATAGTGCAAATGAATGCACAGCCTCCACACAAGATACCATCCCCAGCGTCACATCCTTCATCACGATGGGAACAAAATCACATTCCAGAGAATCAAATCTGGCCAGAAAGTGACTGTGGAGTTACCACCCACTGTAATTTCACAAAGCTTCTGTTCTGGAAGAAGCATCTCCAATATTCAACACACAGAAAAAGCTGTATCGTGCTCTTGTGAAGGTAATAGGGGGAACACTGACAACTAAGCTACTCCTCACAACAGATTTCTTTTTCACACCAACTACCAGGACAACACCATATTTGTACATATGCACAGGATGTACCTTTACCTATCCATTATGCCCTGAGAGGAACTGAATTCTCTGGACTTCTTAAATACCCTCTTAAAAACACATTATAGAATGCTGCCATGCCTCAAAACTCTCTGGGTTTTCTTACAGCTATGTTTCATAGCCAAAATCTGCAGAGCAAGACTCAGAAAACAGGACTGGGCATGCTAAAGGGGAATATTTGCCACTTCACCAAATGTTAGTGACAGCACGCTGCTTCTTCCAGCCCAATGACGTCTTTATTTGCCCTAAATCTGGTCCTCCTTCCTCGACCAGTGCGGGGCTGGATGAAAGAATAAGGTCAATGTCTAACTTCTTACAATTTTTACCTGAGCCTGCATTACAGCCAAAGTGACATGATAGGTGTCCACAGAAACAGCAACTGGGGACTGCTGAGTAACAGAGACAGGGAATTTCACAGCTTCAGTTGACAGATGGCAGCACAGCACCTAGGGAGAAGAGATGAGTTTCTATCCCAACAAGAGGCAGTTGTGTTACTCTCCCCACGTTCTACAATGTGAACCTGCCACTTCAGACTCTGTACGTGAGGCAGTAAGGACAAATTGGTGACAGTAGCTCTCTTCTCTCCACTGCAGGAGAAGATGTTTGGGCTCGGCATTCATACACCCCATCTCCACCAACACATCTCCGCTCACGGAGCTCTCCGAGAGCTCAGTGAGGTACAGCCCCAGAGCCTCTGAACAGGAGACAGGCCTCCAAACTCTACAACAGACCTTGCCCAAAACTTCCTCGGTCCCACCATCCCTGTCACAACGGTCTCAGTAATCTCCATAGAACACATCATCGGTCAATGCACAATTCAGAACAGCAAAGACTTACCATGCCGTGGTCCGACTGGCCCTTGCACGTCACACAATTTATATTTGCGGTTGGTGGCAACTGAGGACCCTCTTCAAACGTGATCTGCACTGAACTCTATGAAGAGAAAATTCTGTTAGTTCCCAGTAGTCAGAGTAGCCCAGACAGTTTCAAAGAGGATGAATGATTCTGATGTGGGAACCCAGAGATGCTCCAGTCTGTTTTCACAAATCCAGCCAGCACACAAAACCATCCCACACTGCAATTCTACCCACCTTGGCTTGTCCGTAGAGCGAAAAGAAACAAGGTCTCCATTTAAGGCTCAAACTCACTAACGCTATGTTAATTTCAGACAGATAAGCCCAAATGAGAATGGAAAAATTGTTCCGGATAGTAGGTCAAGTGTGTTAACCCTTCTCCATTGCAGAAGCTTTCCTGTTTCTTCTCTCTCTTCCCCTCTGTGCTAATCCTGCTTCAAAGAAAGAAAAATACCAAACCACCACCACCAAAACAAAAAATCCCCAAACCAAATAAACAATTAACAACAACGAAATCCACACCCTCAGCATATGGTACATCAGCTCCTCTGCTCAATTTGTTCCTTTTTTCCACCCTCTCCTAGTTTATTAGATTACAATCTCCACTGTGAAGACATCCCTCTTCTTCATCTGAGGATTTCCCCCTATCCCCATATTATAGGATCAGTTCTGTACAAAAAATCCCTCTTGAGAAACACAAGACCAAGATAAAGAGCTGAGAGCATCCCTGAACAAAACCTAGCCCTCAGAGATTCCCTCTGCTCACAAGGGACAAAAAGAGAGAGAGAACAGGCAATCTGGGCACTAGGACATGACCATTTGCTGAGCTGATTGCATTTTAGGGCCAGGACGATCGAGAGGGATGACAGAGATGCAGGAAGCCAATTCTTATTCTCAAGTAAATGAGACTGTGCGCTGCCAAGTCTGTGCAACAGACAGACCCATGTGAGGGGTGGAACAGGCTCTCGGACACTAATCTGACCAGCATACACACTAAAACCTGAAGAGCTACTTGCCCATCAAAAACTAGACTAGATGCATGCTCTCCTCCTAACACAGACACGAGGCAGCTCTCCCAGAGACCAAACTTCAAAACTGACTGAATGGACAAACAATATCGGATCGCTCTCTGCTGCTTCATAATATTAATGCTTGCTGTTTCTTTTTCTCACAAGTCTCCTCCACCAGAGCCTTGTGTTCACCCATGTGAATCAGTCCAAAATATCAGACCAGTCTTTTCTCTCTGCCCAATGACTCAAGTATATAATGACCCACGGCAAGCTATTGCCCTGTTCTTCCCAATATGTCACTGTCTCACCAAACTGGGAGGCACCAGTCAACTTCAAAAGGTCTCGTTACTCAGCCAGCTCAGAACGAACCATGTGCACAAAGTAGTCTGAATCTATATATCCCCCAAGGCATGGAGAAAACACAGAGGAAAAAACTGATTTATCCCATTTCATGAGGACCGCGGAGCTGAATGCTGGGATTCTGCAGCTCAGAAGCAGAGCACTGGCAGCAATGGGATGCCTGAGGAGCAGAAGAGTCTAAGATGGAGTACTTTTCCCAGTTAACAGATACAAACAGCTCCAGGTAAGTCCCAATCTTATCCAGAATCCCACATAACAAAAAGCCCTCTGGGACAGCTTTTAGACCCAGCAACAGTGGCAATGCTGCTTTCTGAGTAAATATGCTCCAGATGAGGAGTGGCTGCAGCAGAAACTGATGCATGGCCCTCTATGCCATTTCAGCCGTCAACTAATCTTCACTTTACATGAATTCTAAATTCTGGAACTTATAAATTCAGATAACTTTTGTGAGAATCTGAGTAAATCAACATGTGACAGAAAAGCACAGTTTATCAGATATGGACAACTGCTGACACTTCCATCATGGCATTGTGTCGAGGGACATGGAAGTAGAGGGTGCGTTTCCTGGGGGGGGGGGGGGGGGGGAAGAGGCACTTCACACTGAATCTAGCCTAGAATTTGTCACCTTGTCAAAAGGGGTGACAATTTTTCTGCCTTGCCGGAAAAAAAGTTTGCATCCTTATTCAAGGCTTTGACTGCTTTTTCTTCAAACATGTTAGCCTCATGCTAACCTTTTTTACCTCTTGATTTTCCTATACCACTTAATAGAAATGCCCCCCTTTCCCGTTCACACAACAGAAAAAAAAAAGGAGACTACAACAGACTTTGGAGAGCTTTGGACCACAGCCTTTTGTGGGCATTAAGCCCCTGCCTTGCTTAAGCAACTATTTGCTATAAGCAATTATTTCCATGCAAAAATCAGCTAGGCATATTCTTCTTCATGAACGCCAAAAGTACGCATCAGTATAAAAGCAATACTGGGAAATTAAAGGAAATAAATACCAGAAAAATTTTTAAGAAATTGCTGTGGAAACCCGGCTCCCCACAGCTGGCCCGGCTCCTGCCCCAACCCAGGATAAACGAGCGCGGTACCAGCACTCGCGGGAGCGACGCCCTGGCCCGCGCAGGCCGAGCCGAGCCGAGCCGAGCCGCCCGCAAGGCTCCCAGTGCCTGACGGCTCCTCCGGACGGGGAAGGGTTGCCCCGGCACCAGCGAAAAAAGGGCGGGCGGGCTGGCAGCCCCACCTCAGCTCAGCTCCGCTCCCTTCGCCGCCGCCGCCCCCCGCACTCCCCCGGCCGGGCCCCGCCGTACCCCGTGCCGGCGCGCCTGGCTGTTGAGGGCTCGCACCCAGGCCCGCTGCCACTGCTCCCGCAGGGACCGAAGGGCGAGCAGCGCGGCGAGCAGCGCCCGGGCCCCGGCCTCCTCCGCCGCCGCCCCGCGCCGCCGCGGCGCCCGCAGGGCCGCGGACCGCCAGTACTGCAGCAGCCAGGCCGCCACTGTGAGCAGCGAGGCTGCGAAGAGCAGCACCAGCGCGGCCCAGCCCAAGTCCGGTCCCATGGCGCGGGGGTCAGGGCATGGCGGGCGGGCGGCCCGGCGGGAGCGGAGGGGAGGCGGCGCCGCTCCACTCACGGCACCGGGCGCACGTGGCCCCGCCGCAGCCCCGCGCGCGCTCCCGCCGCCTCCTTCCTTCCGGCGCGGCGGAGCGCGCGCGCCCCCCGCGGCCCGGAGGGACCGCTGGGCCTGTTCCGCCCGCTGCTCGTCCCGCGCCTCCACGGCCAGGGACCCTCCCGGCGGCTGCCGCCAGCCTTCTCTTCTGCGAGTCTGAAAGCCCAGCTCCCCCACCGGCTTTCCGAGCTCCCATTAACGGCGCTTTTCTCTTCACGTCACGCTCCTTCCCGCTAGGAGCCGCTGCCCCGTTCGCACCAGGCACGCAGGACTCGCCACCGAGGTGGAACCTTTCCGTTCGTCTGCTTCAGTTTGTGCCACCCTTCGCTGTGGAGCAAAAGCAACGCGAGTTTTGATCGCCTCACGACAGTCGCAACCCAAGGCCAGGTGGTGGCGATTCCTTGGTGCTGCAGCTTCAGAGTCTCTGGCCAGCCAGAGACCATCACGCCTCTGTGCTGCGCTTTCCTCCCCAGCAGTACTATGTGCCCGCTTCAGAGTTTATTTAAAGTTTACAAATTCACGTTCAACAGACAACAGAGCAGGGGCGGCCTCTCAACGCAGCAGCAGCTCTCTAGGTGGCACGGACAAGGCCATCAGAAAGCATTTCCGGTTGCCGCGGCCGCCATGGTGGGGGGGGGCACTGCGGGGCGGAGTCCGTGGCGAGGCCGCCCCCGCGCCAGGGCGAGCGCTGCTCCCGGCGCGGAGCTTTGCTGCGCGGATCCCGGCGCCGGGCACAGACGCGGCCAAAAGCCCTCCCGGTCCCACCGGCGTCCGACCAGAGCCCCGTGCCGGCGGGCAGCTCACGCCAGGGCCAAAGATGGCGCTTCCGTCCCCGATAGGCCGCAGAGGCCCCGCGAAGCCGGCACCGCCCCTGTAGCGCCCGGCCAGGGAGGTGGCGGGAGGCGCCCCCGCCCCGCCCCGCTCCTTGCCCTTGGCAGGGCGAGCGCCCGCCGCGGCCATGGCGGCCTTGCCCGCCGTGCCCCTCCTCATCAACCTCGGCGGGTCGCTGCTGGGCTTCGCGGCCACGCTCACGCTGATCCCGGCCTTCACCGACCGCTTCCTCGCTGCGCGGCTCTTCGGGGAGGACCTCAACAAGGCCTCGCGGCGGCCCGTGTGAGTAGCGCTGCCCGCCGGAGCTGCCCCGCGCGGCCAGCCGGGGCCCGGCTGACTCCCCGCTCTGCCTTCCTTCCAGCCCCGAAGCACAGGGCGTCATCAGCGGTGCCGTGTTCCTGATCATCCTCTTCTGCTTCATCCCCGTGCCCTTCCTGAGGTGCTTTGTGGAGGAGCAGTGCGCGGCCTTTCCTCACGACGAGGTGAGGCTTGCCTGGCGCAGCGAGCGCAGCAGGCTCGGGCCGGGAGCGGCCACTGGTGACCGGGATCCTGTTCTCTGTCCTGCAGTTCGTGGAGCTCATCGGTTCGCTCCTTGCCATCTGCTGCATGATTTTCCTGGGCTTTGCAGATGACGTTTTGAACCTGCGCTGGCGCCACAAGCTGCTTCTTCCTACCATGGCTTCCCTCCCACTGCTCATGGTTTACTTCACCAACTTTGGGAACACGACCATTGTGGTGCCTAAGCCCTTCCGGGTGCTGCTGGGCATGCACTTGGACCTGGGTGAGTTATGAGTCACCAGAAGCCATCATCCAACTGGTGAGCAATTGGTGGAAGGAATCACCTGAAGCTGTCTGTGCTGCAGAGGGAGCAAACAAAAGGATTTGGTTAAGTAACCAGTGAAAGGGTGGAACTCCACCCACTAAATATTAGGCTGAAAGAACATCCAGAAACCCAGCACACCTTCAGTTGTGAATAGATAGGCACCGATCATTTTCCCATGATTCTGGCAATACGGGTGTACACAACACCTAGTTGCTAACACCAGCATGACTGAAAGAGAGACAGAACCCTGCAGCCTGCCCCCACGGCACAGCAGTTTGCTGCAGTCGCAGTGCTGTATGTATGTGTACACATGATGGCCAGCTCATAGGAGAGGAAGCAATCTATTTGCAAGCTACCACAATCAAAACTCACTGAGATTGTTAGGTAAAGGATTGTTGTACAAAGCAAGAAGTGAGAGCTTTAGTGAATTGGCCCAAGGCCTGCTTTGCCTGCCAGTACTAAAGCATTTGGCTTGCTCTGATCTGTAGGTATCCTCTACTATGTGTACATGGGCATGCTGGCAGTGTTCTGCACCAACGCCATCAACATTCTCGCTGGAATTAACGGGATTGAAGCAGGACAGTCACTGGTGATAGCTGCTTCCATTATCGTATTCAACATTGTAGAGTTAAATGGTAAGGAAAATAACAAACATTTGTGGGTACAAAAAGCAAAGGGAGATTGAATCCTAGTCTGCAATAGCTGTTATTAATAAAAATCAACCAGTCCTGTCTTATCACAAACAAACACGTTTTCCTTTTTTCTATAGGGGATTATCGAGATGATCACATCTTTTCTCTCTACTTCATGATTCCCTTTTTTTTTACCACGCTGGGCCTATTTTACCACAACTGGTAAGAGGAAGGACATCGGTTTCTTTGGAAGCATCCTTTCCCTCTACTTTCTCCCTTTCCAAACACACAAACCGCTTAACAATGTGCAGATGGGATGCTGGAGGGTAGATAGGCTTCTTGCCAGAACTAAGAGCACAAAGCATTTATGTGGTGGTAGCTTTTCTTTTTATTAGAACAGTTGTGGTTCCACCAGCACACCCAAATGCACAGAGTCAGAATACACTCCCTCCCATGCCTCACTGGACATCTTTTCCTACCGTGTTCTCTACAAGTCGGGTGGTGAGTCCCAGTCCTGCAGTTCTTAGAATAAATACCTACAATTGTTTTTACTGTGTAGATCTGCTGCAGATCCCTCTTGGCCGCTAACCTGTGATGTGGGCATACGTTCAGTGGTTAGAAAGTAATTTGCATGGCAACAGTAATCATGACAGACCTTTGCTTTTCTGCCCCATGGATTGCAGGTACCCATCTCGAGTGTTTGTTGGGGACACCTTCTGCTACTTTGCCGGCATGACCTTTGCTGTGGTGGGGATCTTGGGGCACTTCAGCAAAACCATGCTGCTTTTCTTCATCCCCCAAGTGCTCAATTTCCTCTACTCATTGCCTCAACTCTTCCACATCATTCCTTGTCCCCGTCACCGGCTGCCAAGGTAATGTACCTGAGTGACCTATAGTGGTACCACAGATTGTGTCTTTTATCTTCAACACCAGCTGAGAAAGGTGGCGATAGGTGCTCTTTTTAAAAGCCATCAAAGTATGTTTTCTAGTTAAAAGGTAGCCAGCTCACTCTGTCAGTTACAGTTGAGTCATATTGTAGAGGTTTCTCAGAAAAGTGAACTTTTCTGACCACCCCACTCCTCAGATACAGAAGAATATTTTTAACAATATTAGAATATGATGATTCTCAGCTACAAGATTGAGAGAAGTTGACACAGGGTGCTTTTAATGCTGTTGCAGTGAGATTTGCTAAGATTTCATAGTAGCAAGCATTCTGCAGCACTATGCCATGTCAGCTATTGTCTCTGCAGATGTTAGATTCTTCTATTTTAGTCTTTAAACTATATAGCTTTATGCATATATAGGGGGTACAGGGACTCCTCTGCTCCCTCTGAGGGACTAGGTATCAACAGCTGTTGTTACTTTTTTTTTTTCCTCCACTGGATTTCTTTCTTGGCTACTCAGCTGTGCATCTAAGTCTGCTTACATAGGCGTCTCTGTCTCATTGTTTTATCTGGACTAAATTTTTAATGTTTCTTTTAGGCTTAACCCTACTACAGGAAAGTTGGAGATGAGCTACTCCAAATTCAAAACTAAGAGCCTCTCTGCCCTAGGATCAAACATTCTGAAGGTAATACCCAGAAAACATTCAAAATTCAGATGCATTTTGAGGCAGTGGTCAAATGCAAGAGGAGCAAGATGGAAGGGAATGCCAAACTTCTAGGTTCGGTAGTTACTTCCTGGCTCAAATCCAGAAGAAAATATTCTGCGTATTCTGTTACCATCCCTCACGGTCACCTGATTGTTTTAATAATCAGTCTTTCAGAATAACCACACATAGCAGTGTCCCAGGACCATCATAAGCCCGTCCTGTCTTTATAGTAAGAACACAGGCCAGATTTCAGGGATGGTACAACAAAAGGGCTCTTGAACAAAACCAAGCCAGTGAGCACCAAACGTACCTGGTGCAATAATGTGCAATATTTCTTTCCCCAGGTAGTCAAGATCTTGCATGTAGTAGATGTGAGGAGTGGAATGGATGAAGATGGTGAATACACTGAATGCAATAATATGACACTTATTAACTTTGTCATAAAGCTGATTGGACCCACCCAGGAGCGAAATCTCACTCTTCTATTGCTACTCATTCAGGTCAGACAACAGGTTCCTCCAGTAGAAAGATGTACTCTAGAATGGAAACAGATCCAAGTCAGTCTCAAGAGTTTTAAGGGGAAAGGGGGAAGTAAATTATCGTGCTCTTCACACAAGATGCAGTTGAGCTGTGGAACTTAGGGAGGCTTACACAAGCTCAAGGAGGAAGCAAATTCACATGCACACCTCCCTGTTCATTGAGAGCTTATAAAAACAAAGTCTCTAGGTTAGCTTGAGGAGATTCCCAAGGCACAGATTATTGGCTGCAAGAAAAACATGAGGACAGCAGAGTGCTTTGTGACTCTGACCAAGTACAGCCTTTCTGCATGTTCCTGTTTGTTAGTCATAGCAAATGAGAGTTATCTGACAGGTGGACTTGTGTAAGGGTGGCACAAGGCTCAGCAGTCCCCAGAATCTGAGCAGGAGCATTTTGGAGCCACTTGGAACACAAGGATAATACACCTCACAGATACTGCCACTACCCCTATTCAGCATATGAACTCTCATGCATGATATAGTAGAAACACCACTTTTGGAAAGGCAAGTGTTGGTTAATTGCCTATGATAAATTCTTTTTTTCAATCTCAGATTTAAGATAAGAGGGTCTTATTACAAAAGAGACACTTAGCAAAATTCCCATTCAGGAGAAAGGACTTCCAACAGAAGCCTGTAGAACAGACCTTAGGCAGATGACATCGGGGATCGCAGAAGACAGGAAGTACAGAGCCCAGTCACAGCAAAGAATTCCTGACAGCACCTTATTGTAAGGATGCTGAATTGCAGCCTTGACATGAGGTATTTTCCATTACAAACCATATTATATTATGATATAGGCTCCTTAAGTAGGAATGAGTTATTCCCAACCGTTCATTTCATCCACATGTTCTCAGAATGTGACCGTGTGCAGGCACATGCAGAAATCCCCCACTGATACCTAAAATTCTCAAAGAAATTGGGTCTGTGGATAGACTATACCTAAAACATTTAGCCTATATGTTGCTATTTAATCAAAGGAGGCATGGTGGAATGCTTAGCAAATCCATATGGAAAGGAGAAATCTGACAGCCTGTAGGCCATTCAACACTGTAATGTTTCTGTTGTATGTCTTTTTTACCTAGGTCCTGGGCAGCACCATTGCATTTTCCATCCGGTACCAACTAGTGCGTTTGTTTTATGATGTCTGACTGGACCGTCAGGAGTAGGGGAAAGAGTTGTACCAGCCAGTCCATTTTCTCCAGTTGCTGATCAAATGATTCAACTGATCTTACTCCAGCCCTCTGAGAACCTCAGAACACCTGTCAAAACACAAGCAACTGCTCTATGTGGGCTAGTCTTGAACCGTTTGGTTTGGGGTTTTTGGTGCATCAAAAAGGCTTTTGTCCAATTCTGTTGATGGAAAGGGTTCACTGCTACTTGGACATCACTGTTACTGGGAATTACCTTTCAGAGGGAAAGCAAATGACCCAAATGTTTACTGACAGGGAAGTGGGAAAGATGGAATCTCTATACATCTAACAAGGATGTTACTGTTCCTCAAGAGAGGAAACAGCAACTTTAAATTCTGTGAGATGCTGTAGAGCACAATAAGTAAACCAGATTTCGCTCCTGGCTTTTCCAATCCTTTGGTCCATGGACATAGAGTGACATGTTATAAACCATGCTCAAAACTCAGAACGCTCCAAGAATAAAATAACTCATGGTACCCTTTCCCCTGCAGTGCTTTGCCACGACAGTATTGACATGCAGTAAAACTGGGTTACACGATCCCTCCCTGTACCTTTTTACCCTGCTAGGGGGCTGATCATTTCTGCAGTTGACTCCCTCCTTTTTTATGGCTACTAGGAATGTTCCCTGCTGATGGGCTTTTAATTTTGAACATCATCATCTGCCTTCCTCTGTAGAAGAGGACACATCTGGAACAGGCTAGCAGAGTAAGGATCGCTGTGTCCTTAGATTAACATGGAACTAAGACCCTGCAGGCTGCCATTATCTTCTCATCAAATATAAATAATTACCTATATAGCGGTATAGCACCATAGTTCAAGACAGAATTGCTACTTACCCAGCAGAAAAACACAGAACAGCCATTGGAGCACCAGGTTAAAGAGTCTGCGCAAGATTAACGGCAGTGAAAAGTGAAATAATGCAACGGCAAAAACAGGGATGCTGAGGTGGCTGAGTAGGAGTTGCCAGGTCCAGTACCTTAATAGATGCAAGGCCGCTGCACCTCCACACACCCATGTCCAGCCAGTAGCGAGGCTTGGGATCTTTTTCCAGTATGAAAAAACATGTATGTCCAGTGGCGCCGAGTAACAGAGACAACACATAGCACTCAAGTGTGGATGGCACAAGTGCCAAATCTTCTTCCTCTTCTCCAGTTCCTAAGTCTACTGGTAGAGTATATTCATAAACATATACATACACAAACATTACAAAACCCTTCAGTACCTGGCCTTAAAACACTCGGTCTGTCCAAAAATGTGCTGCTGGATTTCATGGCATATGGAGAGAAATTAATCTCTCTGCTCTGATCCAGTAGGTAAAGCCCAGACAGCCACCCCATTTTCTTCAGTAAGCTGGCTTAGCCCTACCTCCAGTAAGCATCCTGCCCACCCTGATCTCCCATATGAGATCCTGGATATCTGGCTCTAAATCCTACTCACTCTCTGGTCTGGCTCGTTCACTAGGGATCACACATCTTTTCATTCCACCCTAGCCCTGGCTCCTCCTCTCCCTGCATGCACTGAGGTCTTCCTGTTTGCTGGAACTGCATACACACTGGCCCCTTTGACCTATGGCCTGATGCCAGTGGCTGGTACTTAAGACCTCCAGACATACATAAACATACAGGGTTGACAGTCCCCTCACCCTAGAAAAAAACCCTAGAAATGGAGTTTAGTGAGGTGGGACAGGCTGCGGAGATAATTATTACTGATCAGCAACATATTAAGACATGGCCACTTTCTTCACACTTTTTCTCCTTCAATGGTCCCATATTTTTTTCCCCCTAGTCAGCTTTGACTCCTTCCCCGCCTTTGGTGCTTCTCTTGATATACCCATACTATAAACCCATAATACATCTCACACACTCCCACAATCCCCTAAAAGGATCTCATGTTAGGTTTTCGTTCCCAAATGCTCTTCCCCTGTATGAATGAGGACACCCGTTGGCCTGCAGGCAATCCCAGGAGCCCTCCTGCCTCACTCTGGATGAAAGCCAGGCCAAGACCAAAGCCCAGGCCCAGAGGCTGACTCCAGTCCTCAAAACCTCTGGGAGCAGCCCAGGAGGGGGACCATCGTGCTGGTTCGGCCATCGCGTGCCTCATCTGCCATCACTCCTCTGCCCCTTTGGTCCTATCCCTGAGTAACCTGAGAGCTGGCAGAGCCAAAGCTCCTCACACAGACCTGACCTTGCAGCTTTACCCGCTGCTATCCGGAGCACTGGACGGACAGCACGAGGGACTCCGCGGGACCGGCCGCTAGTCCTGCCAGACCCTCCACTCGGGAGGCGCCGCAAAACCCCCGCACACCTCCAACGGCCTCGGCGCGGTTTAAATTTGGCGCCGCGCTCGCTGATTAGCTGGGCTCCGCCGCCAATACACTCAGGGCAAACGCGGCGGCGTCTCACAGACGACCAGTCAGCAAAAAGCTTCTTACGGCAGACGCACCAATAGCGAGGCGCGATGTCGGTGTCCAATGAGCTGAGTCCTAGTTGACGGGAGGTTATAAAAGGCCCCGGCGAGGCCGGTGCCGCCTCAGTTGGCCACAGCGGCCGGAGCGGAGGAGCGAGGCGCCATGTCCGGCCGTGGCAAGAGCGGCGGTAAGGCCCGCGCTAAGGCCAAGTCTCGCTCGTCCCGGGCTGGGCTGCAGTTCCCGGTCGGGCGCGTTCACCGGTTGCTGCGACGCGGGCACTACGCGGAGCGGGTGGGGGCTGGCGCGCCCGTGTATCTAGCGGCCGTGCTCGAGTACCTGACGGCCGAGATCCTGGAGCTGGCGGGCAACGCGGCGCGGGACAACAAGAAGACGCGGATCATCCCCCGTCACCTGCAGCTGGCGGTACGCAACGACGAGGAGCTCAACAAGCTGCTGGGCGGCGTCACCATCGCGCAGGGCGGTGTCCTGCCCAACATCCAGGCCGTGCTGCTGCCCAAGAAGACGAGCGGCGGCGCCGCGAGCCCCGCCAAGGCCGGCAAGAAGGGCAGTGGGCAGCAGTCACAGGAGTACTAGGCCGGCCGCCCCTCCGGCGCCACACAAAAGGCCCTTTTCAGGGCCACCCCATTGCTCACGGGGAGAGCTGTAATCCGGGGAGGAGAGGGGGGGTCGGGCCGGCTGCGGGGGACGAGCAGGAGCTGGCCCGAGGCCCGTCAGATACCGAACACAAGAGCTGCTCTGTAAGGGCTCGTAATTTACTTGTATTTACCTCTCTTACCTTCAGTGGACGTTGCACAGAGAATAAACAGTGCTTCTTTAACAAAACAGGACCCCAATAGGGTGCCATTTCAGTATTTCTACAAGGCATTGTAGCACACAAACCCTGCTGGGATGATGTAGTGAGTGCAAGGAGCCAAAGTAAAAGGAAAGAGCTGTTACAAAGAAAGGCACAATAGCCCAAATTTGGGCTTCTGCTTCAGCTCCCCATTCACTGGCTAGTGGAGATGAACTGGCTCAGATTACCCTTGTGGGCAAGCACTCACTGGCTGTCCACTCCCTCATTTAATCCTGACAAATTGGCAAATCTGCATCTACCTGATAACTGCAGACTTAATTTACCTTAACGGAGAGCAAGGTTCAAAGTGGTATCTGTGCTACTTTACTAAAACAAACATGGTATCATCAACCTGATGGGAGCCTTCAGTAGTCCAGTGGGTGAACCGGCCCAAATAAGGGACTCTCTCAGCACAGTACAGCATTTTACTACCAGCACAGTTGAGTCTCCAATTATAATCTGTAATGAGCACTTTGTTCCTAAATGGAATAGAACGCTTACTGATTTTTATTTTTAATTTTTGCTTTTAACTTCCTAGCTACAAAAATTGTTGAAAATACTTCAAAGAGACACTTGGCAATTTAGAGAAATGTGGAGAGGGATGAAAACCCTGAACAGCACAAACTACTCAAGTTAGTTAGCTTATTATTTCAGATTTTTGCACCCAAACATCAGGCAAGACTGGTATGAGTGTTTAAATAAATCCCATCCTCCAGAGGATGATGGTGTAGCTGCAATCTTGTAGCTGGTGGTGTAGCACTCCTGGCTGCACCGAGTTCAGCTTCAGCGTGTGTCATTGAGCTGCCTTGCCACGCTAAGGATATGCTTTGCTCCCTTGCTCAGAAGTAAATTAGCCAGTTCAACACCCAGGTTCTCTGCAGCTTCCTGGGCCTGATTAGGGACACTCTTGGCTGTGATGCCAACATGCTGCACATCGTCGTTTGGTCCGTCTTCATTCTGCAAATACAAACACCCCTAGGTAAGGCAGCAGGGAGGAGTAGGCAAGGAGCTGTTTCAGACGCCCACAAAACAGGGTAAAATCTGGTACGAGGAGCCTCGAGAACAGTGTGCTGTAACAACTTCCAAGGAACCAGACCAAAAATAATCTATTTCTAAAGGTCTGTGTTTTGTCATTTAGCTTCAGGTTTGAATTTTGAAGCCACTGGGGGGCATGTACCTGATGGGGGTAGTTGACACTGGTCTGCATAGTCTCCTTCAGGCTATCGGATCCATCCAAGCTGTAGACTGCTCCTGTCAAGTACAACTTGGAAAGACAGACAGAATGGATTAATACCATATTAACAAACAAACAGCCAACTACCCCCTCTTTAAAAAAACCCCACCCAACATACAAAGCTAAGTCTGGAGAGGAAGGCTTTTGTCATGCAGTGGGAACAGCAAGAATAGCAGTACGATACAGGCATAAGAGAAGAAATCCCTGTTAAGGAAGATGCAACTTCCCAAGGAAAAGGATGGAATTTTTTTCTCGTTTCCCACCTCCTTAATCACACTCCATTGTCTAAAAACAGATTTGGTGGGGTCAGAAGCGAGACTTTCAGATCTCAGGGCAACACTAAAATAAGCAAGGGGGGTGAGAGGGGAAATCTGGTATGTATTACAAGGGAATTTTCTAGAAGATGGCTTCAGTAGCCAGACCCATTCATGGAAGGGCCAAGTCAGGAGACTATCTGCCCTAATCAGCTATAAAGATATCTGCTGAAATTATCTTCAGGGAAGGATCGGGGACACAATTGAAACAGGTTTTCAGAAATAATCCCAGAAAAGAACAAAGTACTCCTCACCTGGCCATCCTTCAGCAGGGTGCTGACAGCAACAGGGACACTACATCCACCTTCCTAAAACAAAAAGCAGCTGATGCTAAGGCTCCTACCCAAAACTTGCAAAGCAGAGGCCTCTGAAAAGTTTAGGCTGCACACAACCCCCACCCATTACTTTCAGGCCCTTCTTGATTCAGAAGTAATCCTTCCTTCACAGTTTTAGGAAAGCGTAATGGATTTCCCATACTATGGCATCAAGTCAACTAGCAGAGCAGTATTTACTGCTGCAGGCAGAAGAGCAAGGATGCCAGACCTACCAAACGCTTCATAAAGGCTCTCTCAGCAATGCAGCACAACACAGTGTCTGTATCATGCAGGGCAGATACCATATTCAGTATCTCTTGGTCTTTGGCACGAACTTCCACTGCTAAGGCACCCTAGAAGAAGAAACACAACAAAATATAGTAATTCTTCAACTTCATGCATCTGTGTGTGCACTCAGCATTGACCACGAAACAGAACTTAGAGGCTCGAACGCTTTTCACTAAGGGAGTGATGTTTACAGAAATGAATTACAAAACACTCTACTGGCTGCAGAGTCATCCTATAGCAGCTGCTATGAACAGATGATCGGAACTTAATCAGCCAAATATTAAAGGTCACGCTGCCACCACAAACCACTCTAGAACCTATCTCAATTATGTCTGCATATATAGAAACACCCACCCTACTGTGCCTTTGGGATGAGTAGGCTGGATAAATCCAAGGTTTACAACCTTTTATCAAGAAACAGATCAAGTGCTGAATGAGTAACAATGACAAAAAAATTATTTCCTAAATTGGATATACAGTGGGGCAGGGGGTGCAGGGCACTGCACAGTACCTGACCAACACGTGATCAAAATCACTGTTTCAGAACGAATGTGCGGATTGGTCACTTGCAATCACTAACGGCTCTGGTTTAGCAAGTTTGACACCAGCTGAGCAATCCTGTGTAAACTCAGCCACGTGCCCAGAACAGACTGGAACCACTCGCCCGCCCAGAAACAAGAGCCCTAAGAATGTGCTCCAAGACAACTGTTTCAGCTCCAGCCTGCAGGAGTCAGGACACCATAAGGGAGAAAGATGGAGCATCAGAGAGCAAAGATGCTGCAGCTCTGCACAACTGTCCTGGTGCACTGTAACACCAACCCTGCCCCACACCTGCTGTGTCACCCATCCTAGCTGTCCATGTGTTACCTTTCCCATTTACTGTTTTTCCATTATGAACAGAAATCAGCCCCCACCACACTGAGTAACTGAGCTGACTCCATTCTTCCAACAAGCTGTGCCTAAAACAGCATAACGGCCAACAAAAGAGATGGATGTAATAGTTTTTTGGCAACCGACAAGCAAGAAGTCTTCAGCACAATTAGCCACTCAGACACGTTGTGCTGCTGCTGGCTTTCAATACATAGCATGGCTTAAAGTACAAAAGTTGTAACATACCTGTCCAACAGCATACAGACAATCTTCAGGGCCTAGGAGCTGGAAGAAAGTAAAATCAGAGTTAAGTCGCGGTGTTCCGAATATAGGAAACAGGAGCCAAATTCTATGCTTGTCTCTAATACCAACTGATTTCATGTCAGACCAAAGAAATATCACCTTTCCCTTCCCATGCCCCAATGTTTGCACTGCTAAAGTGAAACAATGCACTTTCCATCAACTGGACTGTAGCACTTTGTGAAATAGCCAGTCACAAGGATCTGAGTCTTGCACAACACTGCTTTGCCAGACATGAGTGCTGCAAACTGCTGGGAGATGACCAGATCACAAACTGTTACTGAACCATGGAAAGCTGAACAGTATAAATTTCTGTATGAAGGAAAAAGCAACCAACCAAAAAAAACCCCAGAACTCTTCCCTGAAGCACCTCAAATCACAAGCTAACATGGCAATGGAGTCAGCAGACTGCATGCACATCTTGGACAGGACAACCACAAGGTCTGAAACACAAGCAGTTGACGGTTCGGCAGAGAACGGTATTTTCTGCTTTGCTGCTCCTCACCTGGCCAATGCGATGCTCCCAGCCCATCCTCTTCAGCCCAGCAGCAGCCAGGATGATGGCACTGAAGTCTTCCTTCTCATCTAGCTTTTTTAGGCGGGTATTTAAGTTCCCTCTCTGTAGAAGTGGTTAAGCAAGCACAGAAACAGCAGGCAAGCAGTCCTACAACCACATGAGCATTTACAGACTGTACAGAATCCAACAGCCTTCAAATGAGAACATTGGTACCATCCTGAAAGAAGTGTTAAATATGGACAATTGTTTCTTTAAATAGAATTTTGCCAAGCATTATGGAATATTAATTCAAGTGCTGACTGCACGTCATTTAAGTATTAATACCCAGCTCCTTCTGCACTCCAAAGAACTTGGCTCCTAGGACCGAAGTAATAATGCCTTCTCTCAGTAGTTCAGCCACCCACATTGGAACTAGTGGTCCGAATCACATCCAGGGTTACTGGGAACCCACTGGCATTTGGTCACACGCCTTCAACAAACACATGGGAGGCACCGTTCCTCAAACACTGCATAGCATACAATCCAATGCATCCTGAACCCCAGTGAGATCACAGCTGGCCCCTTGTTCACAGCCTCCCGATAAAGCAGAGGATAGAATGGCTACAGTGCTACCCCCATCATCTGAACAGGGTACCAGGGGGCAGGCAGCCTTTGAGGAAACAGTTTGTTCTTCTAGGTCAGCTGCTACAAATCAGCCTTGAACGTAGACTTTGCATTAAGTTGTATTTTCCCCTCTGCAGCTTTACCCAGCTCCCACGTTTTGCCAGGAAAGGATACAATATCCCTGAATTGTAACTGAGGGAACTTCTTTTTGAGCTGAGCTGCTCTCCGAAGTGAACTGGTTCCAATCACACTGTAGGGAAAAATAGAATCAGTGAAATACAGCATACTCCTAACACCTCCAGACAGAAGTATGACAGAACTTTCAAGGAAACAAATGGTAACTTTTTTTTTTACATATATATTGAAGTGAAGATCTAAGAATCAGATTTATATCTCCTTAGAAGAAAGAAAACCACTCTGTGAAATTTAGCATAAAGCCTGGCTGAAGCCACGCCCAAGGAGACGATCTACAGGATATGCTTCTGGAGAGCACCCCCAGCCACTGTCAAGCACTGATAAACCTCATTTAAAGACCACAACATTTATATTAGAAAA